GAGCCATTAATTTGTAAATTAAACAAAACTTTATAGATTGGGTTCTCATCACATCTCTAGATATATTCTCTCTTTTTCCTGCTATCTTTTTTATCTTTAATAATATGTCAAAAGTAATGAAAAACTAAGTCAAAATTGACATCAAAATTAAAATTCAGAGGTATCCTGCCCTGATTACCAAGACATTGCTTTTGGTGGACCACAGTTAACTGATTCTACAAACTTTGTGTAGAGATTGACATTTACTACCAGGATTTGTATTTCAGACTGTTATATGCTAGTAGATGAAATTTCCAGGAAGCGAGGAGATCTGTATATGCCAAGAAGACATAATTAATTTTGCATAAATAATCTGTTTTCTTGGGGCCATAATGAGACTGGAATAGATTGTGTCATCTCAGCGATGACTCAAGATAAATTTCCAAGACCATTTGCTTGTTTCTAATGTTACCAATTTTAACATCCCTTATGGAGAAAGTTAATGGGCTTTCTAAAGTCATTATGGAAATTGTCACCTTAAATTAGAAATACATATGTATTCCTGTCTGGCCACAGAGTCTTTTTTTCTTTGTCCCTATCAAGAGGATCCCAGAAGATAGAGGAGGTGAGGAGCGGGCTGTGAGCTACTTACATTAGTGATAACAAACAAATATGCTGCACCAAAGTCTAGCAGACCCAAATTCAGAGAAAAGTCCTTATTTTCTGTTCTACAATGCACTGCGGGGTATCTGGAACAAAATGAGTTTAGGTTAGAATAAACATTACAGGTTAGAAAAGCATTCTCATCTCTAGGGAAAGTGACCTCATCTCTCTACTGGTGGAGAGGAAAGTGGCCAAGTCACCATTTCTATTTGAAGAAAGATGTTTCTAGACTGGGTTCTTTTCTTTTTTTTTTAAATTTATTAAGTCACAGCTATGTACATTAATACTATCATGGGGTACAGTGGGTTGTTTCTATATACAATTTGGAATACTTTCATCCACTGGTTAACATAGCCTTTATGTCATTTTCTTAGTTGTTGTGTTAAAACATTTATATTCTACATTTTTCATGCCAAGTTTCTGCCCCTAGTTTGATCTCTTGATTGCTTGCTTGTTAGGCATTTTTTTTTAATCTTAAACCTGAATAAAGAAGGTGAAAATCATCTTCTTTTGTGGACTTTAGGCCCAAGTGAATTTTTCTCATGCAACTCTTAGGACTTAGTGGAACAGCATAAAACAGTGAGCCTGAGAGGATAAATTCTAAGTAATGAGGTGGCAATGGGAGGAGCCAAAGGGTACTTCCTTTGGAAGGAGGGAACCAATAATAAACCTTCTCACAGAGATGGTCTGGGTTAACTATAAGCATGGTCTTCACATCAATCACTCAATATCCATGCAGAAAAAAGGGACATTGAAGGAAGGAGGCAAGAGTTGAAAAAGAGCAGGAGTATCTCTATACTCAAAATCAGTCAAGATGTACCTAAGTTCCCCACCTATAAATAAAGACAGCATTTTAAAATACAACTTGTAATAAAAGTAAAACATCCACAGGGGCAACGCTCTTACTCTCCTCTTTGCACAGTTTTGTAAGCAGACACACCATAGTCTTCACCAACACTGAAGGAGATATCTGTACCCAGGGTGATGTTGACATCTTTGTGCAAAGTGTTAATAAACCTGAGGGTAGAGACATTATTTACACATCAGACAAATACTCCCCAACAGGACCCCTGATAACAGAGAGTAGGAGCTTTTTCTGTTTTATTTAAGTAAAACAGTAAAAAGGCCTACAGAATAGTAGCTGGCACATGAAAGGTTCGTGATGTATATTGGGAACTGGACAAATGAGCGAACTCTCATGTAAGAAATAATTGGTAGTCTCAGATGTCCCTAACTTCTTCTTGAAGTATTAATGTTTTATTTGTCACATCTTTACCAGATCTCTAGCTGGGTGGACACTACTATGACCACTCATGTTAATCTGAGTTTCCTCACTAATTAATTTAGGTGCATCTAATTTCTTTCCCTTACAATGATGGAATTGATCAACTGAGACTTTACTAAGAAAAATAAGGTAATTATGTATATATAAAAATATAATGGCATTTATGTAAAACTGATATCTTATCCTCTTATGAAGTCTAATTTAACTTATGCAGAACTCAGGCTAACAGCTGATGTTAGGTTGTTGTCAGTGTTTTGGAGTGTGCAGAAACTTTGGACTCTTCCCGAACCCATCTTTCCAGTCTTCTGAACCTGGGTGCCTACATTGGTCCCTCAGGATGGGTTCTGGCAAATTTTAGTTTTGAGAGCTTTTGATTTGGTCTCTAGCTCAAGGAAACCAAGAATGGAAGACCCTTTAGGGTCATGAATGCTAATTCCTGAACTGTGGATCATCTTGCACTGACCTAAAAAATGCCTCTTCTGGAGGCCTGTGGCTCTCTGGCTCTCTGGCCTCACTACTGTCTTATTTTGAGATGTTTACTTTTGCTAAGGCATATTCATAACAAGTTATTATGTTATATTCTACTCTTAGTGAAATTCAGACTTTTCAGTAAAAGTCTTCTGAAATGCTATTCTTAACAGCAACCACATGATCTTGGTGGCCATGTCTAACACCTGCCACAGAGAGCAGATGACTTCCTTCATGCTCCATCTCTATCCCTTGCTGTCTGACAAGACCATTAGCTTTTTCCAGATTCAAAAGTCTTTTGACTTCAAATTTATAATATACCAGGATGTGTCTATAGATTTAGAGAAAAAACTTTAAAGGATAGATATTCAACTACCAACAATGAAGGAAGGACTATTTGCTCACTTCTAAATTTCTCTCTGGTGATCACAGAGAGAGAAGTCCTCAGTTATTTTCCTGACTGGAAGATAAATGGGTAAGATTTAGCAAAAAGAATTTATGCAGCAGAGCACTGGGGTCATGTACAGATGCAGGGTCATATTTTAATCCCACATGAAAATGTAAGCCTATCTCCCTCTCAGTGTCTTGGAAATGCCTTCTGACACCAGTGCCCCTGGTATTCTAGGAGAGAGAATTCCCATTCAGAACAAGTAGAATGGGAGGGCTCTTCATCTGAAGCCTCAGAGATTAGAAGAGATCCAAGAGTCAAGAAAACAGAGTGGCCTGGTATCTCCTTGACATCCAAACCTCATAGTTGCCATCCCCTTGGTTGTTTTGCCTTCTCCATCTTTTACCTACAATGGGAAAAAGTAAAAATCAGTAACAGCTGACAAAAAGGAACCTATAATGAGAAAGTTTAATCACTAGGCAGATCCTGGGTAAGACATTGATGAACCACCACAGTCAGCTTACTTTGAGACGACAACTTAGAACCTGGGCAATTTGTCAACTTACCATCATGCTAGAGATATTTTTTCCATCTTCACGAATGATCAGACTGTACCCGTTCTTTTCCTCTACAGAATGCTCAGTGTAGACAGATAAATTGTGATATTTCAGGTGGAAGTGGAAATCCTGGCTTTTTGTTTTCAGGTGCAGTCTGAAATAGTGTGGTGTTTTCTGTAGAATGAAGTGTTTGTCACACTTACCTTCCACCCCATCTTGGACATCAGTCTTATAACCTCTCAGGATGGGTGACATCATGAATTACTTTCAACCTAGTAATTCCTTTCTTTAATTTAGTGATCTTATTTCTTAGAATATACCATAAGAAGTAATTAGAGGCATGCATAAATACTTATGAGTAAGAGTTTTCATTATAAGATTATGCATAATAATAAAAAACTCGCATCCCCATAAGGAAATGTCTAAATAAACTAAGATATATCAATAAGATGGACTATTATGTGTATATTAAAATCATGTCCTCAAAGATTATCTGAAGACATGGGAAGATGCTTATGATACAATTAATTTAAAGAAAAAAACACAGTCAATATAGCATATAGAATTTCTAATTCAGTTAGGCTCACGTCTCACCTGAAAGGATTTGATGGACTCTACCAACAGAGAATGGTTTTCATTTCCCACTACTGTCACCTTCACGTCATCATCTGCCAGATTCAAGACTTGTAGGAAAATTTCCTGAGGACCTGGCTGGGGTGGAGCCATTCCCTTGGGACAGAGAACACATGTCAGAATTACTAACAAATAATCCTTCAGATACAGTGGGAATACATATTTTAGTCCTGTTTCTGACAGCTTAGCCCATCTAGCCAAGAGAATGCAGTTTTCTCCTTCCAAAGAGTATTTGGCTTAGAAAACTGAAGGCGGTTTGGAGGGGGAAACATGAGGTCAGTGTAGCAAGCACAAGCAACAAACCCCATGATTCTTGACTCAGCTGTGGCCACATCTTTCATTCCCAAGTAGTGGCTATTCGATCTGCCAAAAGGTATTTGTTTAAGTACCTAGAAAAGCATCATATGTTCCCTAAATAGATGAGTACATATCTTGAATCTTAGTGTTTAGGAATTTCCTGAAAATATACTCTGAATCATTCAGGTGGGAGGTGAGCCTCATTTTATATTGTTACTCTATTCCTGTATCTGCTCATTTATCACCAATACTTACTGCATACCTCCTATAAAATGATACTGTGTAGGTCCCAGAAAATCAAGATTGAACAAGTCAGAAGAGTGAACAAGGCAGATATTGTCCTGCCCTCATATACCTTAAGATTTATTGAACTCACATTTATTTTTATCTCTACAGTTGCTGCAACTGCAAATGCCAGGCATGCTAGGATCATACCAACAGCCATTTTTCTAAGTGATCTGCAGAGGAAAGGGAGAGACAACTGTATCTAAACTTTAGACTCAAGTAGAAAATCCAACCTCCTTAGACAACTATTACATTAGAGACTTTTCCTGACTTGGTCCCGATTACTTTTCAAAGTATTTCCTTCTACTCTCCTTCACACATCCTTCTTTCTCCTTTTACTTGAGTCACATAGAATTGGTCTTCTCTATAAAGTACCATATTTTCTCACTTCTACTTTTGCTTATGATGGTTTTTCTACTCAATAATGAAAATAACAGCAATACAACCAGATTTATTAACATTTTTTATTTGCCAAATGCCAGGTGCTGTACATGTTTTACTTCATTTTCCTCTCAAGTCTGTTGACCCCAGCAGCAGGAAGGACTATCTTTCTCTACACTTCCCTGGCACTTTGATTTTAATTTTCTGGGACACTTAACATATTCTACCTGTGTAATAGTTATATTACATATATAACTTGCATCTGTTCTAGTTCTCTTACTATATAATACTCCTCAAGGGAAAGATTTGTGCTTGATTTATGTTTGTATGACACTTGGTTCTAAACTACTTAATATTTATTCAATCAATGAGTAAATGGCCAAAGGCCATTTGAATTTGGTAAAATGGTCATCAAAATGAAGTCACTATTAAATCAGGAATGACAGGAGGCTTGAACTTCTGTCAAACTTTATAAATAATAACACTTCTATTTAGAATAAGGAGAAAGAAAGTAATTAGGAACAATTTTATCCCCAGTCCTACCTGGTCTCCCATTTGTTTCATAGAGACAATAGGAGATTTAAAAGGATTAGTGGTCATCAAATGTACACAGTTATGATTTGATTTAAAAAATGAATAAACACAGGGTGGCACCTGTGGCTCAGGGAGTAGGGTGCTGGCCCCATATGCTGAGGGTGGTGGGTTCAAGCCCCAGCCCTGACCAAACTGCAACAAAAATTAAATAAACCCTAAAAAAAAGAAAAAAATTTCTAAAAAAATAAATGAATAAACAAAATCTATGGGCTTTTTTGAAGAGAAAACATTCAAGAACAAAGCAGGAGGGCCAGGTCGGGTGGCTCACACCTGTAATCTTAGCACTCTGGGAGGCTGAGGCAGGTGGATTGCCTGAGCTCAGGAGTTAGAGACCAGCCTGAGCAAGAGCAAACCCCCCCTCTCTAAAACATAGCTAGCATTGTGGCAGATACCTGTAATCCCAGCTACTGGGGAGGCTGAGGCAAGAGGATCACTTGAGCCCAGGAGTTTGAGGTTATTGTAAGCTATAGGTTACTGTAAGCTATAACACCACAGTACTCGATTGAGGGCAACAAAGTGAGACTTTGTTTAAAAAAAAGAACAAAGCTGCAAGTTGGTTTAGGAGCCTAATCTCACATATTTTTTACTTTCCATGAAGCTTAGACCTCCCCCTTTAACATAACACAGTTAAGTCCATAGTAAGGACTTTGACTCTTGTTAATTAGATCTAATTCCCATTTTTTTTCATTGTTAATAGGCACTTAGTCTAACACAGCAAAACAGAAGCAGATAAATGATAAGCCAAAACAATCACTAAGGAGAAAAATACTGCTGTTGAATCATTATTAAATTGGGCAAAGACTCAATCAGTTTGAATAATACAGGCATAGGGAGCACTTACGAGAAGTTAATTCCACACTTGGAGATCAGACGATAAATGACAAGGTCAAACAACGGGATGAAGATAAGAACCAGAAAGGGATTTAGTACCTGTAACACCATGGTAAAAAGGATCAGGTACAAGAGCTCTCCTATTATAAGTGTGCACGCTGCTCTCATTTGCTTATGCACACTCTCTTTTACATCAACACACACTTGTATCATAATAAGGACAGAATGATTCCAAAGATCCTAGTACCTTTACACCCAAGACTATTTCCCTTGCACAGCAGTTTAGCTTCCAAATATCCCAAGGGACCAGTTTCACTCTGAGCCTGTTTTCCTGCCAATCATATTAGAAGCTCTTCCCTCCCAATTTCACTCACATTTTCTAGTTTCCTATGGGGAAAATCAGGGCCTTGAGAAAGGAAAGAGAGAAAGAACTGAAATTGTGGAACCAAAGGGTTGAAAAAGAATTGGGAATCACCAATAAACAGAGATACTGACTTCAATGCTCATACGACAAAGCCTTACACTTTCTTCAACAATATTTTCATTATTCCATTACTGGGGGAAAAAAAACCCAATATTTATTTATACTTTACCTGTGCCTCAAAACTCACTCTCTCTAGAGCTGGTTAAGAACTACTCATTTAACAGGGAATATGAAGGTGAAGTGTGGAGCTTAAAGAGAATATTTTCATCTCTAACCTTGGCCCTACTCAGCACCAGGAGAAAAGCATCAAATACAGTTGTTAGTCCTAACAATGCAGGTAAAAGAATAGATGAGGAAAGAAATAAGTCTGCATAGCTGTAGAGAAATCTCCTACCTGCATCTGGTCTGGCTGAAGCACAAAAAACCCCTGAAACATTATAACAAATTATAATTAGATGGTGGCTGAAAGATAAGAAAAACACAGATCAAAAATTTTACTAATTACCAGGTGAGACACATATAAGAGAAAATTCATCAGGCATTTCGTTTAGGGCCACTTTTTAGTTACAAGGATGGGAACAGACTTAGGATGACTTCTAGCTATTTTTTGATGAAGCTAGATGGGCCTAAGGAAAAATATTCCTTTCTATGACCTATGTCTCCCTTAACTTGAGAGAGAATAGAGTCAGCATGCTTTTATTAAACTCAGCAACTGCAATTGTAGGTGGAAATAACATGAAGGACAAGACATCATGGTTAGGGTAAAGACTCCCCCTGACACACAGGGTTTCCAAAGTTGTTTTCTAATGTATCAACAAGAAGACCACCAACAACCCAGGAAAAGGGAAAGGTAAAACTATATTTGTCAGGCTCCAAATAGACTGGTTAATATGACTGTGGTATCATTCCACTTTGTTTGTTTCAGAACTGAGAAGGTATAAAAATAATACAATAATCTAGGAAGTGAACAATTGGGAGCTGAGATGGTACCTTATTTGAATGGGTGGACCAAATAATGAAGATTGGACAAAGAGAAAATAATATTTACAACCTTCTCATTCCTTCCATATCCATGTACATAATACTCCATTTTCCATAGGCCCCTTGCTGTGATCCCTACCTGAAAGATGGAGCAATTGGGTAGTAGTACCAATCAACCCAGTCCCTGCTGTGTTAAGATAGAAGAAAATCACTATCCTAGGTCATTTGTTATAAATCAATACTTCCTTACCTATGTTAAAACCTTTCCCATCCTTTTAATCCTAATTTCTGAAGATAAGATTCTGGTTTTTATCTCTAGAGTAGCTTTCTTTAATTTTGTTTACAGTGTGCCTTCAGGCTAAAAGCAACTCTTAAATGATCTTAAGTCAGTTTTTAAGCAAAAACACAAAGAAATTAATTTTTCCTTAATATGAATGATGAAGAAAACAAAAGTCTTCTCTATAAAATCTTCTACTCACCAAATTCCCATTCATCTTGGTGGCTTGCAAAGTCCATCGTGAACCCTAGCGAAAATAGATGATAATATGAGAAATCCCTTTCCTATGAAAAGGAACTGGTTATAATAAGCAGTAGTTTTCAAAAGCACTATTTTTACCTGCTGATCCAAAAGAGCCCAGAACATGGGCAGTGGAATGTAAAGGAATAGTACCCTGGTCAGTGCTTTCACATCCATAATGAGCTGCGTCTATAAGAAGGAGGAAAAACAGGCAGAATTGCTAGAAGTTCTACACATGGTTTTCTTGCATAAAGTATAATAGAAGTATCCCCCTAAAAGTAATAGAAGAGGTTGAATGTAGTAGGAGAGAATCAGTTTGAACATGAGGAAAGACTCCACTAAGCTACAAAATGTTTCTGCATTTCCAACTTACTGGGTATTTCTCCACTGCCCAGTCTAACCAGTGCTGTCTCTTTGGAATGTCTCCAGAACGGTTCTTGAAACGGTTGGAAAGAGCAAACTAGGGCAAAACATAGACATCAGGGGAGATACAGAGAAACCATCCCCTGACTTTTCTAATTTATTATCCTTTCCCTTAAACACACATACTTTTAATGACCTACTCCAACACTTTGACCTCATTAGTAGGTAATCAGTAATTGAATTTCAGAATATTTCAGATCATTTTGTCTAGACTTATTTTCTATTTCTGTTATAGTTACCACATACAACTATACTTCAGAGTTTTATTGCCAATTTTAAAAAAAAGATTATTTTTTTAATAATCTTTAATGGTTAAGCAGAGGCACTGAGGAAGACCAGTTAATCTCAGCTTTTAAAAGGCATGGAAATTCAACAGAGGTCATTGGGAAAAATGCATTCCCATGTCTCAAGGCCCATATTCTCAGAATAACATCTCCTTCTTTTGGTTGAAAAAGTCAGGTAAATAATTCATAGACTTACCCAGATACATTTGAAAACTTGAGCCACTATGTTTCCTTCAGGAGGTGGCTTTTTGTACATTTTGTTTCCCAATGCAAACACAACTGCAGTGGATAGACAAACAAGGTTCTTAGCTTTTCATTCCGTATGTCAATGCAAAGAACAGACTGTTGAACTTCGAGAGTGACTGGAAAATCTCACAAAGAGGTAACTGACTTATATTTCCCGATTTTGGAGTTATAAAAATTATAGGCACCAAGATAAAATGGCCAATTGTTAAGAAATATCTGTTGCGACTTTCATGTAATTACAGAAATGGAAGTCATCTTTGACTTCTCACTCTGCTTTCTCCATTTCCATATCTGAAATGTTACCACCTGTCACTGATGCTCTTTTTTCTTTTTTTTTATATTTTTATTTAATCTCTTCCCCACCCCCTCCCCCCACTCAATGCTCTTTTTTCAATGAATTGCCCATCTGCTTCCTCTTTACATTGCTACTGCTACCACTCTTGTTCAGGACTTTACAGCTTCTACCCTGGATTATTAAAATGAACAACAAGTAGTTTCTCATCCCCTAATCTCTCTCTTTTCTAATCTGATGCCAAATGTTTCTTTCCAGGATCTACTTAATAAATCCAAATTCCTGGCACAAAAAGGCTTTCCCAAAGTCATTATTATCCTGATGGTTATTGCTATCACTACCAAATATTGAAGGCTTATGACTATAAGTTGTTAAGCATTTTACATGCATTAACTGATTTAACATGACAAAATATGTACTACTACCTCCATTTTATACATGAAGGAACTGAAGATTCAAGAAATTAAGCAACTTATAAAAAGTTACACAGCTGGGGTGGTGCCTGTGGCTCAGTGAGCGGGGTGCCAGTCCCATATATGGACGGTGGTGGGTTCAAACCCAGCCCTGGCCAAATTGCAACAAAAAAAATAGCTGGGTGTTGTGGCAGGCATCTGTAGTCCCAGCTACTTGGGAGGCTGAGGCAAAAGAATCACCTAAGCCCAAGAGCTGGAGGTTGCTGTGAGCTATGATGCCACAGCACTCTACCGGGGGTGACAAAGTGAGACTCTGTCTCTTAAAAAACAAACAAACAAACAAACAAAAACAAAGTTACACAGCTGGAAGTTGCCAGAAACTGTATTTTTTTTATCTATTGCCTATCTGACTCAAAAATCTATGCCTTTAGTCACTATAAAATATCTCATTCACTAACTCTTGCATCGTACACTGTACTAGACACTATTGGGAATACAAGTAAAAAAAGTCAAGGCCCCTATCCTCAAAGGAGCATACCTCAACCTACCATTTCCTACTTTATGTTTTATTATTTTTCTTCAGATATCATATGCTTTAACCACTATTCATCATTCCCACAAAAAATTCTATTCTGTACTATTTCTATTCTTGAACTCATCCCATTCCCCTTAATCTACATTTTTATCTTTTAATCACATCTCCACAGGTAATTTTAGGTGAATTTAATTTTATTATTTTTCCTTTTCCAAATTAATGGTAAGTTGATATTACTTTTGTAACAGTAATACTAGTATAATAGTTTTAATACAATAGTGTTACATTTTTTAAAATTTTATTAAGTAAAAAAACCAGTGGAAAGATTCTACCTTGGTACCCTCATTCTTTTTTTTTTTTTATTGAATGGTAACTATGTATTAATGCACTTCTGGGGTACAGTGTGAGGTTTTCACAGGTACCCTCATTCTTAACAGTTTTCCTAGCTTGAGCAAGATGTTCCTCTTAAAAAATCTTCAGCTAAAGATGCCTTTCTCAGTGACCAGTAGCATTTTCCAGTATCATCACACATCAGAATGCACAAATCACCTTTCTCTTCTCTCCCTTAACTTTCTAGTATCTCCATTCCTCTAAGTCAGATTCACTCTACCACTTTTCTTTATTCATATTCCTTTAAGTTTCTTTAAATCTTTTCCAAATAGCACCCTTTACCTGCAATGGCCTTCTTTTCAATGATCAAAATAATATTAATAGTTCAAGGGAGGAATGCTAATCCTAGGAGTCAAGTAAGCACATAAAGAGGTAGATGTGGAGAAAAGGGAACACTCCTCCACTGCTGGTGGGAATGCAAACTAATATGTTCCTTTTGGAAAGAAGTTTGGAGAACACTGAGGGATCTAAAAATTAAGCTGCTGTTGGATCCTGCAATTCCTCTACTAGAAGTATATCCAAAAGACCAAAAATTACTTTGCAAAAAGGATATTTGCACCAGATTATTCATTGATAATGATAATAATGATATCATTATTCATGATAGCCAAGTCATAGAAGAAGACCAAGTGCCCATCAACTCATGAATGGATTAATAAATTGTGGTATATGTATACCATGGAATACTATGCAGCCTTAAAAAAAGATGGAGCCTTTACCTCTTTTATGATTTAATGGAAGGACCTGGAACATATTGTCCAGAGTAAAGTATCTCAAGAATGGAGGAAAAAGTATCCAATGTACTCAGTACTTCTATAAAACCAACTTATATTTACTCACACTTTCTTACGAAAGATAGAAGACAACTATATCCCAGGATGAAGGAGAGAAATGGAGTGGGAAGGGAGGGGAGGAGGTAGGTTTGATAGAGGGAGGGTAAAAGGTAGGACTACACCTATGGAGCATATTGCAAGGGTACAAGTCAAATCTGTCAAGTGTAGAACATAAATGTCTTAACACAATAATCAAGTAAATGAAGCAAAAGCTATGTTGATTACTTTGATGCAACCACATCAGATTGTATTAAAAAATCAACACCCTACATATTATA